ATTAGTAGGAAGGCTAGGGATCTGTGAAGCAACAGGGCATGACTAGAATTGCATTGTTAGACATGGATCTCTCAAGGTTATATGTGCCATGGGTTCTAGTCATGGTCTCTGCCTATTGGTTTATGAAATATGAACAGTTGGCTCATATACCCCCCACCATGCATCTTCTCAGCCAGAAAAAAACTGGATTTTCTCTAAAACCATGAGCTAAATGAAACCTTTCCTCACTAAACTACTGATACAGACCATTTTAAAAGGCTTGGTCTGGAGGTGTCAATTTGGGAATCATCAATATTTCAAGGTGTAAAGGGTAGTTGAATGATAAGAGACATGATCTGCCAACTAAAACTACAGCAAGAAAAGAAGGATGTCCATTATCAAGCTCAGTAGAATCCCAGAGTTACAGCCATTGAGAACAAAGATGGAAAAGAATGAGTGAGAGAGAGGCATGGCCACTTCAAAACAAGAGTGACTTTCAAGAGGAGTAAAAGTATCCAAAAGTTATGGCAGACAGGCCCCAGTTGACCTTGGCAGTGAGTATCTCCAGAAAGTGGTAGAGTGCAAGCCAGATGGAGGTTGAAAAATTAACTGGAGGAGAGAAGGACAGAAGAAAGGCTTGAGGTGGAGTTTTTCTTGGTCATAGGTATGTGCTGGCCTTGTTAATGTGACAGAGAATGTGACTGTACAGAAAACCAAAGACTCCTAAGAGCAAGTTTTCCTAGGAAGTGAGAGTGGAGGTATGAATGTTAACCTTGACCAGAGCCAGTGTCTTATCAGAGATAAAGATAAGGCAGGAGGGTGCTCTGACTACAGGAAAGCTTGGGGGGTTGGAAGATAAGAAGCCAATCTCCTGGTTTATGGCCCCCATGAAATTATCATGTAAAGGTGAAGAAGAGATATTCAATTTAGTGTCCCTGTATGGAGAATATGAGGAGTCACTAATTGGAATCCAATGGAGTATTATTGAATAGCATTAAGATTACATGAAGATACAAGCCTCAGTACATTGTGGCACCCATCCAACAAAGGGGCACATGGTTTCCAAGCTTCTTGGGAACTCAGGATGAAGACAAATGTTCACTTTTACCATCCTTTGAGTTTCAACTAGTAGAAACATTAAATCAGGCAGAAATTAAGTAACTGATCAACAAATCAAAGGTGTCTCACTCACCCAACTCTCTCTCCAACACAGTGGGCTCTCCGATTTAAAACTCCTACTCTTGTGTTTTTGAATGTAGGTCTCAGAGGCAAAGAGGAAAGTACCTTTCAAATATCCTCTGAGCTCTTCCATTAATTCTTTAATGGCCTTTTAAAAAATCTAAGGAAAGTTCAAGGGGTGGCCTGCGTTCTGCATGCCATAGATTTAGGGACTGCATCTTCTAAGACATCTGTCTGTGATGCCAAGGACCACAGGAAGTTAGGTGAGTGTAACCCCAGCAGGGACTGAATGGGGAGTCTCAGGAAGCAACAGCACCAAAGAACAGTAGCTGTTGGCTGTTAGACATGAGCTCTGCCTGGACAAAGACTGAAGGTTAATTGAGAATGAAGGAGAAAAATGTAAGCCATCTGCTGTGGAATAATTATTACATGCACTGTGTAAATTATGTTGTGATTGGTTCAATATAGAAGCTGACTGGTCAATAGCTGGACAGGATAAGGTTAGATGGGAAAATCAGACTAAAAACACTGGGGAGAAGAAGGGCAGAGTCAGGAGAGTTGCCAGGAGATTGAGAGGGAGCAAGGCATGCTGGAGGACAGGTAAAGCCATAAGCCATGTGATAACACATAGATTAATAGAAATGGGTTAATTTAAGTTGTAAGAACTAGTTAGTAATAAGGCTGAGCTAGCAGCCAAGCATTTACAATTAATATTAAGTATCCATGTTGATTATTTGAGAACTGGCAGGCAAGAAAGAGAAGCTTGCCTACAGCTAGCTTCTAAAAATCCTGATGCTTCATGGGAGGAGACAGGGACTGGCTGTGACAGCAGGAAGACTGAAGGAGTGTCCTAGTACCACTTGGAACTTCATGGAAGACTCTTTCAGGAGAATGGTAGAATCATGTTTGGGACCCATGACAAGAGAAGTAGGCCAACATTGTGCCTAATCTCAGGCCACTCAATATTTCTTTAGGTTTGTACCAATAAATTTCCATCCATGAAGAAATCTCTAAGGCAGACCACCTTGGGGAGAAATCTAGGCTTTCTTTGTTTCACTTTATTTCGTTTAAAGCAAAATATAGAATGTTCCAGGAAGAAAGCAAAAATATACAAGAGATTGATCCAAAACTTGTAATGGAAAGGGAGGTTCAAATTCGGGGGAGCAAGAATAGGAGCCAGAAAGTATCTGGGCACAAACTGTCTCATCCCAGACTTACTGTCGCTTTTCCAGTAAGTCAGATAAAATGGAAAATGATAAATAAATAAATAAATAAATAAAAAGATTCATACATACCATAAACACTTTCTATAACTGAAAACATAAATCTACACACATGTGCCAATCTTTTGATGTCAGGCCAGGGCCTGCTCTCTGCATATGGATCCACTGATTAGAGTTATGCCTCTTCTGTCTTACATAAACCACATCCTTCATCTACGATTTCCAGTTTTGCTTTCTTTAAAGGGAGGGAGAATGTGAACACACTTGTTAAATACTCTGAATGCAGAAACTCTACATTTTTATAAGCACTTGGCCAACTGCATGCACTGTTTTACTGTTATCCTGCCCATACCTTACCAGTAGCACAGTATTCACAGATAACAATTTAGCAAGGCTTTGCAAAGCCTTCAACTCAATTTTCAGAGAAACCAAACCATTTTTTTCTTTTGCATTTGATCAGTTTATACTCTGTGAAATCTAGTTGGGTGAATAGGTTTAAGGATCAGTGCAATTCCATTGCTCTTTGTTCATAGATGCAGGAGGACACAGTGCACCTAAAGGAAAGCCTTTGCACAGACCACATCTGTATGCTGACGCTGGCAATCTGGGTGGCTAACACAGGGTGCAATACTAGTTAATCCTACGGGTCGGTTAAAGAGCCAATCACGAGTTCTTTAGATGCACAGGCAACAAGACAGGGAGCCCAGAGTGTGGCGTATTAACCGGCTTCCAAGCCGTGGAATGCTGGTGTTCAAAAGATGGTTTTCTTCTCCATCACTTCTGCCCCCACCATCCTTGGCTCCTTATCCCTTGGGGCCCTTGCTGTTTGCGTGGAAAGAGAGACTTGGATGGCAAGGCTCACAGAAGCACTGTAGCAATTCCACAGGGGGGTTCTCGGCTTCTAGTTGCTTCTAGATACCGTGTGACTTCCCTTGCCTCCTATTGTTTAGAGTTTAGAGCCAGAAGTCTCACTCGCTTGCCTTGTTCACTATTCACAGATCTTCTTCATCTGAGCTTCTCTTCCAGGAGACTGGGACCAACACCCATGCCCTGCCTACCAGTTGCTGCCAGTAACCACACATAAAGCAAAGAGCAACAAAAACAAAAAACATGTTTTCCAGAAATGCTCATGTTCCCAGAATCAACTGTCATGGATTAGGCCTGCTTTCTCCTAAATACTACCACAACTCTCCTTTCTAATACAAAAGACGTCTTTAAATGTTTTGTGGTAGGGCACACCTTTAATTCAAGTACATATAAGGCAAAGGTAGGAGGATCCCTGCAAGTTCGAGGCCAGCTTGGTCTACATAGTGAGTTCTAGGCTAGCCAGGGCTACACAGAGAGACCCTGTGTAAAAAATAATAATAATTAATTAAAAATAAAATTTTAAAAAGGAAAAGAAACAATATACAAATACAAATACATTTAACTCTTTAAATTTATAAATGTGTGTGCACACACATGCATGTATATGGATACCTATAGAAGCCAGAAGAAGACTTTAGATCCCCAGAGCCAGAATTACAGGCAGTCATGAGCTATCACATGTGGGTAGTAGGAACTGAACTCCAGTCCTCTGCCAGCGCAATGAGTGCTCTTAACTGCTAAGCCATCTTTCCAGCTTCCCCCAAAAGTCTTTTAATGGTCTTAGCAATTTAGCATATTTTCTTCATATTCTTCAGTGAGATGTCACTCAAGCTGGGAAGTCTCTCCCCAAGGACTCTCCTCTATAGATTTAATATATATTCAAAGCACAGAATATAGGTTGCTGTGGAAATGGCCACTTACTGTGATTCATCAATGTGTTAGGTGTCGATAGGTCTTCAGGCATCACTCTGTTTAGTTCTCACTCTGTGATCTCAGGCATCATACTTATTCCCTCCAACTTATTAATTTATGTGTGACATGAAAAGGTGGCTACGTTCACCAGTACACTACCAGGCCACTCTAATGTGTGACATAGACTTATGCCAATGATAATGCCACCACAGTGAGGACTAAACAAAATGATGCCTGAAGTATCTGGACGCCGAACACCATGCTGCTGTAAATACACAAAACAAGTACAAAAACACAAACACACAGGGGCATGGCACATTTGAAACATCTTTGCATTTGGATTGGAAGGTGCTTACAGAGAGAAGCCAGAAATAATGTTTGAATCTGGGTTACTGGGCCTCAGAGGCCTCTTAACCAATACATAACACTGTTTATTTTCAGAAGGCCAGGCTAAAGTGGAATTATTAATCATTTAAAAGATTCTTTTACTGATACACACAGTGTCAATGATGCCCTTATCTAGCAATTATCTTCAACCACAGACCATAGGGATTTGTTTATAGCATTCATCTAATTATCCTAAAGTGATGTTTATCTGTTGCAGACAACAAGGATGGCTAAAATGTACTCGTTCGGAACTAAGCAAAGGTATTTCAGGCATGATGGAAGGCAATGCTCTGCCCACTGCAAAAGCAGCTTCCATCATAATCTGTCAGTCTTTCCCCTTGCACAGACACAGAATGGCTTCAGTGAGGGAGTTAGGGGGAGCCATACAGAGGGATAAGAAAGGTGAATGAAGCAAGGAGACACTCGCTGGCAAGTTTAATAATCTGAACTTACTTTCTTGGTACACTTCTTCACAGTGTTGATCAATTCCTGCATTACCAGGTCCACGCTCTTCAAGGAAGGTCCTTTCAGCTTTACTATCTGCTTTTTGACTATTGCCTCAAATGCCATGTCTGGAGTAAACAGCCCTGTCCTGAATGTGAGAAAGAGAGCAGCAAATTAGATTCAGCAGCTGAGTAGTAGCCAGTAGCCCTAAAATACGTTTCAATTGACTTCGACTTAAATGAAGCATGCAACAGACCAGCTGTAAAAGGTATATAGGTGGCTGAGGAGACAGATGGGTCATTAAAATGCTGGCCTTGCGAGCATGAGGACCTGAGTTTGATTCCCAACACCCACACACAAAAAGACAGGACTGTGGTACAAGCCTGTGATCCCAGAGGAGGAAAGATAAATAAGAAATGATCTCTGGGCTCACTGTGCATCTTCCATAGCCTGCTTGGAAAGCTTAAGGCTGATAAGAGATACTGTTTCAAAAATGAGGTGGGTGGCTCCTGAAGAAGGACAACTGAAGCCTCCATGTACAAGTGTACACACTTACATGTGCAACTGTACACCTGACATATACATGCATACACACATATGCACACACACCACAAGAGCACAATAGAGAGAGAGAAACATGCATATATCCATAACACAAAATATATATAGTATCTAGTTCTATATATGGCACCTTTATATATAGTTTATATGTGGTTTTTGAGACAGAGTTTCTCTGTGTAGCCCTGGCTGGCCTGGAATTTACTCTGTAGACCAGGCTGGCTTCAAACTCAGAGATCTTCCTGCTGCTGCCTCCCAAGTTCTGGGATTAAAGGCAAGTGCCAACACTGCCCAGCTTGAAAGAAGAACAGTCCCCAGGTGGGCGCTATACTATTATCTTTAATAATCCTAAAACACAAGTTCCCACCTAAGAGCAATGTCCAAGGACTGAGAAGAGCAGGACTTCTCAGTATGTGCCAAGTACTGGGCTCAATGCCCTGCACCGCACACAGGACAGCCAAGCATGTTTTCATAACTTACAAAGTAATGGTAACTGTCATTTGTCTCAATTCATTATTTCAAAATAACAAAAAGGAACGTAACTAGGCAGGCCTCTATAACAGCATGTTCCCTGTCTGAATTTTTCAAAAAAATAATAATATGTGTCTGTACAGAAAACTACAGACATTATTCTTGATAATACTTACCTAAAAATGCCATGTAACAATTATTTTCATATATCATTAAGTTATTATGAGTAATCTAGAGATGACTTGGTGCACAGGGAGGCTGCTGTGGGTATGTTATATTCAAGTAGTGTGTTATTTTATAAGAGAATATGCATCTGTAGATTGGGCTATCTGGGGAGAGGGTGTCTAAAACCAACACTTAGTAGATTACAAGGGTGATGTACTAAGTTTCCATTACCATCCCGAAAGGATTTCAAAAGTAGCTCTCTCCTAGCATGTGAGCTGCCCATGTATATAGTGAAGCAGTGGGGCCCCCAGAGTCAACTCATCATCAGACTATGTTATCATTCAGGCCTGTCCCTGGCACACCCAGTGCCCTGACAATGTCATCCTATATAAAGTCCCCTTTAAGAAAAAAACCCTCTCCCTCTCTCTCTCTCTCTCTCTCTCTCTCTCTATATATATATATATATATATATATATATATATATATATATATATATATATATGGCTCCTGAAGAAGGACAACTGAAGCCTCCATGTACAAGGGTACACTGGGATTAAATATATATAAATTTAATCCCAGTACCTTAGAAGCTAGGTATGGTGATGTGTGCCTTTAATCCCAGTATGGTAAACATGTAGAGACAGGAGGGTCCCTCTTAGAATCTGTTCCCAATATAATTCCATCCTGGCCCTGTGACAGAAGATGAGCCACAACTGGCCACCAACAGAAGGACCCCTTCCTTCACTTAAGGTAATCCATGAACCATGAACCAACAGCTTAAAGGGGCCTGGCTTACACTCAGGACATTTCTATTCAACACATACTTGTCAAATCATGTTTAGTTTACTATACATGAGGTCAAGAAATTTTTTAAATAAATTATATCATAGTTCTAGACTACATTTCTATGGACTGAATGCATGTTTCCCCTAAGAGTCATATGTTGAAGCCCTGAATACTTGATATCACCACATTAGGATTTAGGGCCTTTGGGAAGAAACCAGCTCATAAGGGTGGGGCTCTCATGAGTGAGATTAGTGTCTAATAGGAAGAGAGTAGAGAGCTTGATTGTTCTATTCAACCACATAAGAGCATGTGAGATCTGAGTAGTATATGAATTGGAATAAGGCCCTCACCAGACCACGCCATGCTGGGGAACATCTTGTGCTGTCAGCCTCCAGAACTGAGAGACAAATTTTGTTGTTGATAAGCTACCTAGTCTGTGATGATTTGTTATATAAGCCTAAAAATAGTGAACTATAAAAATAACAGAATAATCGTACTCTGAATAGGGCAGAATTCAGCTTCTAGCTCACTCCAGCCCACAGTCTGTGCTCATGTCGCTCCACTCTCCTAACCACACTACCCACAACAGCCCAAACGCAAAAGGCCCAGCTCCATTAAGATTGGCTGCACTTTGTCATCTCTATGGCTTGACCCACACTCCTCCATCCCGAACAACCTGCATTCTAACCTCCCACCCTCTCAGGTCCACTGGATAAGCTCTTCATATGCATGTATGCACACATCTGCATTTGTGTACACACACACACACACACACACACACACACACACATACACACACATACACACAAACACACACATCTACTCAGAAATCAGTAGAAGACTCAGTTCATATCATGAGGAGTACAGGCCATAGATATAGAAAGGTTTATTATTATTATTATTATAAAAAACTTTCTCTAGCAATAGAATATTATCACTGAGTTAAAACCAAGATTTCCTCTTCTGATTTCTGCTTCTCTACTTTCCTCCATTCTGATGATGAAAAACTGCTAGCCATTTGGAAATGCTCATTTTCCTTGGTAGATTGAAGACAGGGAAAACATGAATCACTTGCCTGATACCATGTATGTTTTTGATTGCATAGCTTATTTCTCTTCTCAATTCTTTCTCATTGAACTCCATCTGCAGATGCAAAATGAACCACAGTTATGATACTTAATTCCTTCGGATAATATTATTGAATAGTATAGAATGAGAGTAACTTGACTTCGTTATTAATAAATGGATACTCATGTCTTTTGTAAGCTATATCCAGATGGTTAAAACATCTGTTTATATGGAGTTCAAGGCCACATGGAACACTGGGGATTTCCGAGTTCCAGTGGAGCAGAGATTTTAACTCTATTATATATGAGGGGTGCTGTGCATAAAGAATACCTCCTGGACATAAACCCAGCCACTCATTTGAAACACAGAATTCCTTTTTGCTGAATGTAGTAAAGTAGAGGCCACAGGAGAACGCAAATATGAGAGTATCTCTTGATGGGTGGCAACAGCACAGCTGTCTTTTCTCCCTGGCCATTTTAACCACCTGACTGTAAGACCTCTTTATAAAAGGAAATTAATAATACCTCATCAAGCCAAAACAGGATGCTTTGCAGTATAAATATTTCCCAGAAGTCTTAGGCACAACAAATCTACTTGGAAGTAGGATCAAAGTGTCAGGGAGCTTAGCCCCAAAAGGCACATCCAGAGAGCAGCAGGTTCAGCTCTGACAGGGATGTAGCCCTTCCAGCCTCACTCTCTGTCCATTTCCTCCCTCACACTCTTCATCTCAGAACAATGGCTTGCCTTAAGTCTCCATCGTATGCTGTGGTTTCACAGCTCAGAGCCTTTATCATTCCTCCTTTAATATCATTAACATGTCCACCCCGCCCCCTCCTCTTACTGCTTATCTAGCTCCTCATCCTTCCAAACTCAGCTCAGAAGTCTGGCTCCTTTGCATGCTTGGGCTGGGATTCATGTCTGTGGGTGGTGTTTCCATAGCACTCTGTGCTGAAGTTTGTCACTTTACTTAGCACATTTTAATAGAACTATCTATTTACCCACCTACTTCCCACACCAATACACAAACATCCACCTCCTCACATGTGAGACAAGTGGCACAGTCCCTAGGCTACCGAGCTGCATTATTGAGCAATCAAGCCGAGCAAACCCAAACAACTCTTGTTTCATACCCACACACTGACGCTTTTTCTTAGTTCCCTGGTCTGATGGGCACCATCACTCAGTCAATGGCAAAAAGCCAAAACTTGGGGTTTCTGTCCCTTGAATCGATCCATGCCTATCAACCTTACCTCTAAAATCAGTCATCCATTTCTCTCCATTCTCTCTTGTTACATCATTTTTACTGAGAAACTACACACACACACACACACACACACACACACACACACACACACACACACACATTCCAGACCTCCCTTGCACAAGATTCCTTCCAAGATCATGTGCCTAATTATATATTTGTAATTTTGCTTTCTTCCTTTTTAAGGAACTCCTGAGATTATAGGAGTTTCAGGCATAAAAAAAAAATGGTTCATCACCTGTAGCTAGGCCCTCTTCCTAACCATATCTAATGCTTGTCCATTGGTGACCCAGCAGGCATAGTGTTTTTTGGGGATCATCAACCCAATCAAGTCACACACCCCTGTGTAAAATCCTCCTGTGGCTTTTCATTGTTAAATGTGAACCCTTTACTGAAACCAGGAAAGCCCTGAATGAACTGGGCACTTCCTTCCTCTCTAAATTTTCATCTTCCTCTCACCTAGCTCTCTACCTGCCGAGTCTGCTCTTTGCTATCATACGTATTCCTGTTCAGTGGCTTCAAAGGAGGACACAGCATCTTCCCTGAGTCAGTCTCTCCCCAGAGATCTTCATAGCACTGACCTTCTAATGCTGTGCTGGTCATAGCTAACATGTCCTTTGCTCAGAGAGAACCCATCTAAACAGCCCATGAAAAGGCACTTTCACATCATGCTACCATAATAACACTTGAAATTTTCTTAATTTGTCTATTTTTTCATTTTCTGTGTTTCCACAATAGACAAATTAGACCCTTCTCTATCTTGATCCCTAGAATTTGGGCCCACAGGAGAGTTTCAAAAATAGTTTAAATTAGAAAACTGATAAATGTTGTGGAAAAAACTTAAGCATTATTTCTTGAAGTAATCTATATGAGCTCACTAAAATCAGAAAAGAATATTTTGAGTACAAAGGATTTTATTCCAAGAACATTATTGGTCCCAACACATCATATTACATCAAAGGGGCTGCAAAAGAGAATTTGGAAATGATGTAGGGCAAAGGGAGAAAAGAACATTGCTTACAAACCTTCACTATCTCAAAGGGAAAGCGCTCGTGGAAAATGCGATTGATTTTAGCACCGCCAGAGAGCTCTAGTGTATCGACTTGGTCCCCCGACCCTTCGATTCTCTTCTCAAAGTCCACAGCGAACTGCTGGACCATCCTGGAGTTGAGAAAGAGAAATAAGCCTGAGTTAAAGTTGGTTAAAGCTCCCTCGCTCTCCGGTTGTTCTTGCCCCGTTCTACGGAGGGGATCGCTTAGACTCCTTTCCTGGTGTTCTTAGTGGCACCTACTGGTCAAGTCGAGAAGGTCATTACAAGACCACAAGTTGCTGAGATTTATTTTAGACATTTTCACTAGAGTAAATATTTTAAATATCTTTCTCTTTAAGTGTGTTCTGTTCATTGTTGTTATAACATGAAATGGTATTTAAGGAACGCTTGAATTAAAAATTAAAGTAATGTAATAAATCTTAAATAGAATAGCCAAGTGAGCATCTACTCCTGTGATATCACGCTTGCCCCCTCACAGCTCCTGCCACTCAAACCCCTCACAGGGCATTGGCTCCTTTTCTCCTTCAAAGTATGGAAACCTCAGTCTTTCTCCCTCATCCTCTAAATTTGTACTGGGTTGTCTAAGGGTGGCCAGAGCATCAAAAGTTATCATATACAATTTTTCTGCACCTTCAGATGCCATGATTCATAAAAGTACCTTGCCCACACATGAAACTGTGTGCTGGGCATGTATTTTTTTTTTCTTAGCTGTCTTGGATCAACACATCTAAAACGTGAACCACTTAACTTCTCTTAGTCCTGAACCTGCTGATTCTCCTGCCTTGGCTCTAACCTCAGCAACTTCTTTTTGGATACTAGAGCACCTCTAGATTTCCATTCTGATTCTAGGATTCTATTCAGGTCAGACCTTACACTGCCATAGTTATGCAAACCTGTCATCACAGACTCCTCTACAACTAGCTCTGGCTTGCTTTTCTGTAGATTCCCACAGTTGGGTTTAACCTGTTATCTAGGATTCTTCGTGCTATGGCCCTGGCTGTTCTCGAGGCCTGTCTCTTGCCCATCCACATATACCTTCCAATTCAAACACAAAGAATATACTGGCCAGTTCCCAAATGTACCGTGCCCCTGTGTTTTTGGTCTTGTTTGGGAGCATTTACAGCACTATTGACTCCATTCCCTACCTGGTTAATTCCTTCTGTTCTAAAGACTCAGCTCAAGCAGTATTTCTTTCAAGAAACCCCTCATGATCAGTGATCCTCAACTACCACCATCACCTACCACTGCCCAGATGAAGGGGTCTTCTGCTTCAGCCTACTTCTAGAAAATACTTTAACAGATCACATCACCACTATTTGTTTTCCTGTCAGTCACTCCCCTGAGGACAAGGGTTCATACTCAGTTTATCTCTACATGAGCAACATATAAGAGATGCTTAATAACTATTTGTGCTATGAAGTAATTAATTATCTTAGACTAACTGGTTAAAATAAAAGAGAAAGAAGAAAAGTATTCCATTTGTGATAACTTAGGTTTAGACATTATACTTCTGGCATACTAGAGCTACTACTTTCAAATTCAAAATCTAATAGAAAAATATTTTCTAATCTTCTGAAACTTGTATATTTTTATTGTAACTTGTATCTTTTTATTGTCAATAAATTTATTGGATATAATGAGTTAAAGTAATTACAAATGACTTAGCCATGTTCCGGTGTCAGCTAATGTTTTTAGTGGTTTTTGTTGAATATCTGTAAAGTTGTGGCATATGCCGTAAAACACTAGAAATTTTTACAAACTTCCATCTCCGTCACTTCTTCCCATACCCTCCACTTGGTGGCATTGAAATAAGCTTCACTCTATTCTCTTACTCTACCCCTTAAACCTAACACACTCTCCTCATACTTCAGGGTATTGAGCATTCACTTCCCCTAAGAAGTAATACTTCTCCTAGCATACCCCTGACTCCTCTTCTGGGCTCCAACATTCTCTCCTTATGATAAATAGGATTGGAAGAGTCTAACACAATTCATCATTTACATATGTATCTTCATGGCCCTCTCCTCAAGTACAAAGGTTCCCATTCATTGCTGATGCCATGGTAGGTAATGCAGAGCCAGAGTCTAATTAGAGTGCATGGAAGGATGGCAGGAGGAAGGAATGAAGGGGCATGTCAGGAAAGGCAGGAGCACAAGAAGAAGATGAACCAACAGTCTAGTCAACAATCTAATGGTGAGATAGTCTGTAGTCAAGACCCATGAAGTCTCAGAGGCAAGGACCAGTCTTTATATCCTAGCTTCAGATGGATGTTGAGATAATAATGTATAACCTCAATATAAATGTATTTCTTTTCTATGTAACTTGAAGAATTTTATGAGTTTAACCAAAGTCAAGAAGACATAGACGAAGGAAGAATTCTACTCTTAAATTTTTTTCTTCTTTGGTATGGTATTATTTTTAAGTGAAATATAATATGATTCAATTAAGATGCCACTGAAACATTTTAAATATTTAGAAATATCTTCACTTAAAAAACAGAATTAAATCTCCTTTTGTGGCCATCACTGGAACAACAAACACCAAAATGGGTTCAATACCTTTGTGATATCTTGATTAATATCATAAACAATATCTTAATTCTGACCAAAGCAAAAACCACAGAATGCATTTCAAAGCATCCCCTCATATTTGAAGAAAGATGATGTCTCCCCCTCTTTCCAAAGATTTGAGACAGTAGTACAGTGCCAGATCTATGCCCATCTGAATGGATGATAAAGTTCAAGTTGTAGGAGGACACCACAGAAGTCATCAGATTAGCAAAGCAGCCCAGGTTTACAGGAAGAAATATGTCACTTACACTGGATGAGTACAGCAGGAAAGTTCTAATAGTATCGCTGTCCATGTGGGCACTCACCCCAGAAGGTGGTTATTGCCATGCTAAAGCTGGACAACCATGGCAAAAAAAGAATTGCTAGAACAGAAAGTCAAATCTCACCCACCACATAGGGAAGAAATCAGACAAATATAAGGATGAAACTATTGTGCAGTATAGAGGGTAAGAGGTCCTTGTGTACACAGATAAGCACTGGAGAAGCCAGGAAAGTTAAACACTCAGGCTTGTCTCTTCAAAGGAAGGAGATGTTTGAATGCTGGGAAAGAATGTAGTTTATGACTGGTGATCTTTTGCTATCTGTAGGGCCAGGCTTTACTGGAATCCCCCAGAATATTATGTTTGTTTATCCCTGGCATTTCTCCTCTAAATCTTGAGCATTGCTTCTCGGTCAATAAAACCCATCCTTATGAGAGATATCACTTGTACTTTACAACAGCCTAAGTATTTCTATGTTATCTTAGGTCCAGGCCAGTCCTGACTCCCACAGCATTATGTTGACCTCAGTCATTCTCCCTGGACCCTTATCTTGAGCATTGCTCCTGACTCATCAGAACCGATCTTTATGGAAGATGCCATATGTACTTTGTAAAGAGTTTCAATGTAAACATGTCTTAAGCTTTGTTGTACACTTGGGACTGAGCTAATTGTCATCAGGAAACTTTTCCCCAAAATTGTTCTGTGCTTAAATATGGCTAAAGTAAACCACCTGGAGTCAGACTCCAGAATTTTGGCCCAGCACCAACTCACTAAGTAGTGTTGAATCAAGTTTCATCCTTGTCTCTCCTCACTGCTGACTGTGAAGCATATTGGGACCACCCCACACACAGTGAAGATGCAGGAAGAAATGAGGCTTACATACTAAAGATTGGTTACATGAAAAATAAGGGAATTAATTTTGCTTTGAGGTGCAAGGAATAAAGGTGCCACAAAATGGGCCAGGGAAGTGGTTTAGTTGGTAAAATGTTTGCTACACAAGTAAGAGGATCTAAGTTCAGACCCATAGCACCCACGTAAAAGCCAGGAATAGTAACGTGCACTTGCAATCTGCCACTGGGGGTGGGAGAGATAGGAGGGTCTCTTTGGCTTGCTGGACAACTAGTCTAGCTAAATTGATGAGCTCTGGGTTCTGTGAGAGATCCTGTCTCAAAAAATAAGGTGGGCAGCAATCAAAGAAGACATCCAATGTTGACCTCTGATCTACACTAACACACCCTCATGCATATTCATGCCCCCCACATACATATACAATACAAACAAATATAAGTAAGTAGATAGATAGATAGATAGATAGATAGATAGATAGATAGATAGATAGATAGATAGAACTATAAGAGGCATCAACTATCATCATTGACAGGCAATGTAGGTGTATAGGAATAGTGGGTAGCAGTCTTCCAATTGAGACAGACCTAGTGTAACTTGAAGCACAAGAAAAAGGGACAATTGAGGTCAAGAGAGGTCAACAGAGAGATGAAAGGAGAGAGTGTTCTCTAGCAACTCTGCTTTCCTACTATCCTACCCTACCAACCCAGGAAGAAAACAGGAAGGTCATGAAGGAGTAAAAGTCCTACAGGAGTTTTTATGCTTGAAGTTTAAACAGCCATATTAAAATCATTACCAGAAAGAAAAATAAGCAATTGATGCCTTTTTTTTTTTTTTTTTTGGAGCTGAGGATCGAACCCAAGGCCTTGTGCTTGCTAGGCAAGCGCTCTACCACTGAGCTAAATCCCCAACCCAAAATGGCTCAGCCGTTAAAGGCTAGGCTCACAACCAAAAATATAAAATGTGGCCTTTTTCTCTATAGTTTTTAATTAATATTTCATTCTCATTCTACTGAAATATACACACAGGCAAATCACATGAGAACTTGAAATAAAGATAACAAAGTGGCATCTACAGATTCAATTCTAAAATATAAATGATATGCTCATCTCTACCTACTTCTGAGGCAACGGGAGAAAAACTCTCCTGAGGTATCACTGCTAGTTTTACCCCCTAACTGAATCCATGGAGATGGACAACTGGTTAAACTTATAATAACAGTAAAATCAACAAGTGTTCCTTGAGAAAACGTAACGATTCAAGGGGCACTGTATAGCACACAGAACCTCATGAGTGCTGCTCGCTGCTTCTAGAAATCAGCACAACCAACAGATGGAGGCAAAGCAAACAGTTTCAAATGAACAGAGAGAGAGAGAGAGAGAGAGGTGACCCACTGCAGCAGAGCTTTTGTCTTCCTCGTGGGGTCTTCCGGTTTGAAGTTTTTGAAGGCTTCGACTTCATGTTCGATGGAGAGCAACTGTCCCTGGAGTTTGTTCCTGAAGTTGGGTAGGGTATCTCGAATATGGTTGGTAAGTTGCTAAATAAAACACAGCAAGCACAGACATGTGTGTAAGAGTGCATGCAGATCAGCTCATGACAAACTTCAGCCTCTGCTGTGGCCCTTGTCATCGCCCCTCAGAACTCACATGCACGTTTGCAATGGACTGTGTAAGTGGGGATGAAAAAGCAGTGTCCTCTCTTCCCCACTGCCTTTTGGAGATGCTTGAGAGTCCTTCAATTAGTTACACACTTGGGTTATCTTTTTTTTTTTTTTTTTTTTTTTTTTGGTAATTCCTGTAGTATTGGATCTGTTAAGTTTGCTTACTGAGACAGTGTTCTTTTTCCCTGTCTGTAAATACAGATTTTTTTTTTTTTTTTTTTTTTTTTGTCCTCCCACACCCTGCTAAAATGTACCTGAAATTAGTAGTGGGACTGTACTATACCATGTTAGCATGGGGGTAATTTAGATTGCTGTTCACAGAAAGGAACATTTAACACCTTTAATCCCAGCACTCAGGAGGCAGAGGCAGGCAGATCTCTGAGTTGGAGGCCAGCCTGGTCTACAGAGCGAGTTCCAAGACAGCTAGGACTACACAGAGAAACCCTGTATATTAAAGACGCTGGAATCTGAACATCTCAGGCACTACCTGATGTTTTCCTTACCAACTGGATGAGCATCCTGATGGTGCACAGGGGGTCAAAGGTGCTACAGGGAGCTGCCAGCTGCTAGCTTTCTCTGCACTCTGGGTCTCAGGCAGGCCCCTTCCATCTCCCGGGGCCATCTAGCTCTGACTGATCATGTTTATGCCTTCAAGGAGGTGGCTTTAAAAGGTCCATGACTAAGCAAGGGATATCTCCCTGCCACGGACATCCCTACCCAGTCATTTGATTGGCAATGCCTCCGCCATCAGTTTGCACCTCAAATTCAGTAGGACAAATGCTTCCAGAAGAATCTATCCAACGGTATGTGTTTAATTAAAGGCAAACTTGAGCAAGGAACACAAGTGCCAGTTTTCTGTCTGTCATGTGTTCTTTCTACAGCGAGGCTTTAAAAATCTGAATTAAAGAAACCAAGATAATTGACCCACTAAAGTAACATATTGGTAATAAAAACAAAGAGTCTGAAAACACAGGAAAAAATGAAAAACAATTGAAAGCAAGGAAAAAAGAAAAACAAATGAGTACTAATAAGAATAAATATATCGCTGGGTGGCAGTGGCACATGCCTTTAATCCCAGCACTCAGGAGGTAGAGCCAGGCAGATCTCTGTGAGTTTGAGGCCAGCCTTGTCTACAGAGTGAGTTCCAGGACAGGCACTAAAATTACACAGAGAAATCCTATCTCAAAAAAACATAAATAAATAAATAAATAAATAAATAAATAAATAAATAAATAAAGACTAAATGGATTATTTTAACTTGTCTTTTTGTTTATCTCAGGCTATTTGAATGAAGTATTCAATTAACCCATGGCCACCTAATTGTCAGTGGTTGGTGGCTCCATCACTCACTACTAGCAAATATGAATGGTCTTGGTTTCTGGACTGGTACTGCTGTCGTGGCCATGAAGCAGCAAACAATAGAATGAAGAGAAGTGCATTCCCAGTACTAATGTCACAAAAGACAAGGACCTAAGCCTAATAACAGCAACAGTGAACAACAGCAGTCACCTGATGCCATGTGGGCTGTCAGAAAATAGGAACACTTGCCTCTGTTTGTGCTCGGCGAACATCTCAATAGTAGAGTGACATTGGATCCCCTCTTGGCTTTCTAAAACAGGTTTCTCCTTGACTTCCATAACCCCAGCTCCTCTAATTTTTCCGAATCATTTTCCAGGTGCCTCCCGCAACTCCTGTAACAATCCTTCTCACCAGACAGATAACACTGAAATTTTCAACAATGGATCCTATACCTCTTCTCAGCTAAATAAATGTTCTATCTTAAGATATCTCATTCTGTCTGTGGATTTGGTAAATATTCAAACAACTGTTCCTGCTAACAGGTTATCTCCAAACAGGACTCCCTGTCCATTCTGTGGGCAGATGCATTCAGCCACCTCCTGGATCTATAAATGACACCCAGCTTCAACACAGCCAAATGAACTACCTAACAGCTACAGTTTGGACCTGTGGTCTTCTCAAACACCCACATGTTAAAAGCTTGGTCACCAACCCGTGCAACTGTCAGAAGGTTGTTAGGACAGTGAGGACATATGGCTAGTGGGAAGAAATCAGATTGCTGGAAGCATGCCCTTGAAGGACATTGAAAAATTGGTCCCTTCTTTCCTTCCTAGACACCAGGAAGTGAGCAGCCTTTTCTTCCATGAGCTTCCAGCATGATGTAGTGTGTTGCCATGGGTCCAACACAATAGAATAAAGTGACCGTGGACTGAAATCTCTGAACCCATGAGCCAAAATAAATCTCTTTTCCTTGTAAGTTGTTATTTTATCATATCAATGAAAGCCGACTAACACACTCATCTTCTCCTACAGGTCTCCAACATCTTAACAGGCTGGGAACGTAGGAGTTAACCTAGTTGCTCATCAAAGAGTTCTCCATCACCCATCACAAGCTCATCTTGAGTTCTCAGTTCTCCTCAACATTTCTCAAATTACTAGCCCTAACAAAGACCAAACTACCCTATTTGTTTAACTTTACTATTAACTGATCTCCCCAATTTTAATCCTAACTGGTCTATAATTAATCTTCCTGACTGTGATTTACATATGCTTTTCAACTCACCAATCTGACCCTTTTATTACCTTTATCAAGGGTCTTTTGAAGAAATCTCTCTCTTCAGGATAATAGCAAAAATCCTTTATTTCTACTTGTGAACATTAGTGGCCTTAGCTTTGGTCTGCCTTTCCAACTTTATCTCTCACTACCCACACACCCTTTTCCACATCTTCTAGACACAGTAGCATTCCTCTCAGCCCCTCAAAAAAGCCAGACCATTTTCCATTCTGCAATACCAGCTATCTCTCAGAGCCACAGGTATACCTCGCACCAATGATGAAGTTATCCCGATTTCTAACACAGAGTGACTATATGTGAAGCAACAGAGAGTGATTATATAGGAAAGGAAAGATCTTCAGTATACAATCCAGTCAAATTCCATTCAACATGAATTCAGTGATGTCCTAACTTGGTGATCACTTGTAATCTAAATGACTAATCATGACCTTCTACTATTCAAAACCTACTTTATTTCTAACATATGTCCAATTATATTAGTGAATTTCCTCTAGGATATTTTCAATCTTTTTATCATTTTCTTAGGCTACGAAGACAGCAACCTAGAAGGTGTGACTAGCACTGGCTTCATTGGTAGAATATTGTGGTTCTTGCATGACTAACTTGCGTTGCTCTTTAAAATGAATTGGTGTCTTGTTGTTGTTGTTGTTGTTGTTGTTTTTGTTTTTTGAGACAGGGTTTCTCTGTGTAGTTTTGGTGCCTGTCCTGGATCTTGCTCTGTAGATCAGGCTGGTCTCGAACTCACAGAGATCTGCCTGGCTCTGCCTCCCAAGTGCTAGGATTAAAGGCGTGTGCCACAGCCACTCGGCTGAATTGGTGTCTTAAGTGATATAGTCATATGCTGCCTCGTGGCTTCTAAATACTCATTTGCCCTTAATTAAAAAGCATAAATTTATGGTAGTCTATTACATCACTTAAAAGTATACTACTGATCTTTATTTTCTACAACTTCCTCAGTTGTTTCACCCAAGTGCTTCAGATACAGTATCAGCTGCTGTTACCATGACAACCTTCACTGATTCCTTCAATGGGCCAACATCAGGATGTTTGTGACTACCTGACTCATTGACAGATTATGGACATAGAAAACAGTCTGTATAGAAATTATTAGGATATTTGTGACAGAAGCTACCCACAATATAAAGTCAATGCAATGGAAAGTCAAGAAGGAAGCCTGTATCCAATGACCACCCATGCTTGCCACAATGTTCAACTCCCACATGGAAAGAAGATATGTATGTAAGTCTACTAAGGACTTATGGAAAAGGTGTATGTGATTTATGGGAGATGGAAGGCTGAACACCAACTCTAATTCTATTTATTTTGAGTGAGTGTGTTATATGGAAAAGGTGTTTTGGATTAGTGGAAATCAATGATTACTTACTTCATCAAGATTTATTGTTTCAATATTTTAAATTAAGAAACCAATAAAGATTTAGCAAAACCATAAAAAAGTTAATGGAAAAATCTAACTTAACCAACACAGCTTGGCATTTGAAACAGATCTGAAGAGACTACCTTGTCAGAGCTACATAAGTCTAACTTGAGATACTATGTATTGTGAGTGAGTGCATGCTCACACATGTGTCTCCTGTTCTAAATCTCTTGATGGCTGTTCCTAAATCAGTAAGTGTTTTTGCTTTGAATACTGTCAGCAATATTGAGGTGAATTCAATTCAATGAAAAAGGTAATTGTGTGGGTCTAAATATCGACTTTTAAAATTATCAAAAGCAGAGTGTCTTATGTGGGAAAAATAATTTTAAAATAAGAAATGTTAATTCTAATAATCTACACATTTCATAATTGTACTTACTGCTTGAAAGAATAATTTTACCTGATTCAGGACCTTCTGGAGGTGGGGGGTCCCCATACGATCAGCAATATGTCTATAAGCCGGGTGAGAAAGGAAAAATTTCCTTTCTGCCAACATGGCCGCCTTAATGTCCTTCTTCCCATCTATGTCCTTCTGGCTTCTGTTGACCACCCCCACGTAGCCTGAAATGAAACACAAACCTATGGGATTTGTCACATTTCCTGTTATTTATTCTTGAGAAACTTCAAGGCTCTCTAACAGGCAAAATTAATTTTAAGGCCTAAAGACTGAGTCTCCTTACAACATTTAATCCACGACCTCACTATCCAATAAATGCCACTGGTTTGGCTATTGATAAATTGTTGAAATCAACAGAATAATATCCCTCACTTTTTAAAGCTCTATATGCTTTAAGAAACTATATCTCAACAATAGTATCATACAGCAGGCAAGTAAATATCTGACTTAAAACAGGATGGTGTATATTTATGTAGCCTATGATGAATATTTATAACCTTCCTTCAAGCTCCTTCCTTCCCCTGTTTTCCTGTTCCTGTTATTTTAAGAAATAGTTCTCCTTTTGAAATGTTCCTTAATACAACACTTGGGAACATTGTGCCATTCCCTATAAAGTATAGCTAATAATAAATCACCTCCTTATAACAGAGGAAGCAGTAAAGCCAAGCTTCCCTGTGGCTCGCCAGTCATTTCTCTGCCATATTATAAAAGGCAGGCCTGTAGAAACCACAGTACATTACCCCTTCGAAGAGGCAGCAGCTTGTTCTCCAGCACATCCCTGGCATCAGTTCCTTCATCCATGAGATCCAGCTTTGTGATAACGCCAATGGTCCTCAGACCTGTATCATAAACAAACACAATTGTCACCACACGGTTTGCAGGGGGAAAAAAAAAAACTAACCAATTCAAGAGACAAAGTATCTTAACACTAAAGGGAAGGCTCATATTCCAGGCCCCTTTCCTGTTTCCCTCTAGCTTCCTTTGCTTCTTGTTTACTATCACACCAGTCTGCTGATTACCTATATAATAAGTAAAAGGGTTATAAACCTACTTATTCATGAGATGCTTTTCCATCCAAGAGAGAAAAGCAGTTATATCACAAAAATACTTCTAAACAGCCATGTTTCACTTAATCATGGGAACATAGTCTGAGAAATGTGTTATGTGTAGAATTCATCACTGTGCAATGTAATCATTACAGAGTATGTTTATATAAAGTAAGTGGCACAAGGCAGTGTCTCAATGGGGCCTCCTGATGTAAACAAGAGATGCAATCAATAGGAGATGTGTGAGATTGCAGCCAGTCTAAGACAGAATAAGGTTTTATGGTTGACATAAAACATGTGTTTAGAGGTGTTCATGTTCATGTATGTACATGCTTGTGGACATCCAAAACAACCTCAGGTGTTGCTCCTCAGGTGCCATTGACCCTCCCTTCTCTTCTTTATCAATAAGCTCTATTGTTAGCCTAGAACTATCTAAGTAGGCTAAGCTAGTCAGTCGGTCAGCAAGTCCCAGGGTCCATCTCTGATTTCTCAGCACTGAGACTGCAAGCATGCAACACCACATTCAACTTTTTGCCTGTGAGTTCTGGAGCTCAAACTCAGGGACGGTGAGGCAAGGCAAGCACTCTACCAACTGAATTGTAACCCAACCCCTTGACACTTTTTATGAATAGAAAAAGAAATAAAATAAGCTCTTAGTAAATAAATCAGTAACACAGTCATCTATTACCATTACAGAGTTTCTGGTACATACATAATTGAGTATGTGATACCCTCCTAACCCTGACAGAGGAGTGGACAGTCTCACAACAGCATCACCACAAACATGAAGAAGGAGTTTCACCCTGGTGTTGTGAAGGCTATGACATCACTGGGCTCTAGGAATTTTTAAGTTCCATAATGATCTCAGGAGACCACTGTTGTATATGCAGCCCACCATTAATAGAAATGTTGTTATATAGCATTGTAACTCTATGAGTTACACACAGCAAACATACTGAAAGGCATAAAATTTCACTATATTTATTAATATCCTTCAAGAAAAAGAAGTCTTTGGACTCATGAAGAATCAAACACCACAGAAACACTCAGATGAAGTAGAGCAGAGATGAAAATGTAAGCAGAAAGGTCAAAGATGACGTTAATGAATCCTTCTGGAAAACAATAGAAAAGTATCTTTAAAAACCAGATAAATGACCGTGAAGATACAAAGTCTGAAAAATTGGTGTCCTGGAGAAAAAAGCCCATGCAGAAACGTTCAGGGGTTAAGCAGATCCTATTCAAGAAAATGTTTCCAAAGTGAAAGATATGAATTTATAAGTTGAATGAACTCAGCAAGTGCCAGCATGTAGTGAAAACATATGCAATTTGTCATGTCAGTGTAAGATTTCAAACCACTAGAAACAGAATGTTCCAAAAATTCTGCCAGATGAGTCTAAATAGGAAGCCACATGAAGATGGTTGGGAGGCGTGGCCATCTTGGCATTCCCAGAAGCAAATTGGAAACCCAAAAGCAACAGAGAAATTGTTTCAAAATTTTGAAGAAAAAAATATTTAACCCAGAATTCTAATTTATCAATAAGTGTGACAGTAGAAAAATCTGACTATTGACTCGCTAAATCCCAGAATATTTAAACTCCTTTTGTCTTTTAGGTACCTAGTAAAGTATGTACCCTACAAAACGGGGGTGCAATTTAAAGAAAAAATGAAAAACAGGATCTGTGCAGGGTCTTCAGCAGTAAGGTTGCACCCCTTTTTCTGGAAGGCACCAAGGCCAATGGTGGTAGCCTATATTGGCTTTTTAGGGGGTCAGAGGGGCCTCTTGGACTCCCCCAAACAATAAGTCAAAGGTTTCCCATGCTTGTCTGAGGTTTTGTTGGGCAGTCTATAGTTTGGGGGAGGAGCATTGTCCCCCTTCAACTTTAGTTATATATATGTGTGTGTGCATTATATGTAATTTTAAATAAATATAAAATATTTCCCTATGACTTTTTCAAACATCCTTAGTGTAACTTATCCCTCCTCTTCCCCTCTCCAGCTATGTTTAGAATCAAATGTGTGTGTGTGTGTGTGTGTGTGTGTGTGTGTGTGTGTGTGTGTGCATATAGGTATGAGAGAGTGATGTGAGGACTTCTAAGTTTTCTTCCTCCACATTACAAAGTCAAATAAAAATTCAATAATTTTAAATGTCAAGAAGTAGCAGTATAACTATATTATAGAGAAACAGAGACACAAGTACCAAATGCAATAGCTCCAAGGGTTGAAAGTGGGTACCTCAGGAAACAGGGAATCAGGGACCAGGATGGATGGAATCAAAAGATTTATCAAAAGGTAAAATGTCTTTTGATAAGTGTCTTTTACCATTACCAAATGACTTATACATGCACACACATGTATATATACATATATATCTTAAAGTCAGTCTATACATGTATGTGTGTTTATATATACATATATACATACATATATATGGGGGAGAGAGAGATCTTAAATGTGTATGTGTATATGACTTTAAGGAATGTATATACATATAGTTTTAGTTTTTAAAAGCTGGTTAAAAAGCATCTCTTTCCTACTCCTGTATCTCTGAAAAGGCAGCCATGTCCTCACTTAGTGAGGTAGAGTACCAGAAATGGAAAAGAGGCTATTTTCTTTCTCTTCACATGTGGTTCCACAAATAGGCGGCTTAAAATAATCAATGAATGAACTCCTGCTGGCAGACTCAAGACATGCATTGATGGATCTCAAAAAGCCATTGTCAGACAAGATTTCAAAGGCTTTCAAGGCACGCCCCTGGGAATTTAAAGACCTGCATAAAACAGAACACATTGTTGATCCCTGATCCTGTGCCAGTCTCATTAAGAACTCAAAACGGAAACCATATGAGATGGGTGCTATTATTTTCTCAATTATACAGGTTGAGGAAAAGTGAGAGGAAAAACACACTTGCCTAAGGGGTCACAGCCTGGACACATGGAGCTAGAGTTTGGTGGTGCTAAATCCAACAACCTCATTCCATTTTTAATCCCACTAATTTTCTGCATCCCAATTCTTAGATTCTCTAAGTAATTAGCTGTGTTATTTGACAGCTTAGTCATAACATCTAGTTCCACTTGTCTATAGAACTAGGGGTTGGCTACAAGTCAGAATTCTGGAGATGGGGGTGATTTCCAGATTTAGAAGAGGTATCTTTAGAGATGAAGGAAGAGCAGGTTGCAGGTTAAGACACTCCTGATCCTCTTGATAAAAGACTAAGTGCAGAGCTGATAACATTTTCACTTTTGTGTTTCTGTGGTGCTTTTCTCCAATAAAGAACAGGCATGGTGCTGAGAACCAATGAGTCCTGGGAATGACCTTAAGAAGACATAGATGCTTCCAAAATCTGATGCTTATGTAGACAGGAAGTTGAGTGCACTGACTAAGGAACAGACCTCTCATCCCTTCTCATCTCTGGGGTGTTCATTTCTTCATCAGTAGGAAACTGCATCTGCCAGTTGGGCAGCCACACACCACAGCGCCCTGCTGCCCAGGAGTAGTTATTAGCAACACTCGTCGCAACTCTCAAAAGATGGGCTTTCTGAAGAGGTTTTATAGGCACTCCGGCTCATCACAAAAAGGGAGACAATAGCGACTATGGAATCTAAATGAGAGTAGCGAGAGTCTAGTCTGGCAGGTAAACATCTCAATCCATCTCCACAACACATAAAAATATAAACGGGCAAAGCCAGAAAGAAACCCTCACACATCTGTCAGATGGAAGATCACAGTGAAAGTTGCTGCCAAAAATTTCTGGCAAGACAAGTAAAAAAAAAAAATCTCATTTTACAAAAGTAGAAACTTAGAACCAGAAAACTCACTGGCAATCAGTCTCAGAGTAGGGAAACCTAGTTTGTGCTTCCGAAAGACAATCTTTGGGGCATTACAGGGAATGTTATAATTATCCAAGGACAATGAGGTGTAGCTTCCTAGCTGATGGTGTTACAGATGAGTAAACTAATGCTCAGTGTCGAGGCAGGAAAAGCTAAATACTGCTAGATGGACTTCAATGTGAAAACCATGAGAGTTAAAAGCAAGACACCACCACATTGTGTGCATTCACGTGTGCATGCAAGTGTGTGTGTGTGTGTGTGTGTGTGTGTGTGTGTGTGTGTGTGTGTGTGTGTTGCTTTGAGGAGCTCAAGGCAGTTCTTAGATAAAAATCACCTGTGGTGGTGAGAGGGGCAGGGCAACTAATTTGAAGTCTGCCAAACAGCCGTTCCTCTTAACATGGTATCATCTTTCTTCTCTGTTTGCTGTCATCAGCTACCCTGACAAAGGCAACTTAAGGAAGGATGGGTTTATCTAGAGGTACAGATTATCATGTGGGGAAGTCATGGCAGCAGGAGCTTGAGGCAACTGTCACGTGCACCTAACGGTCAGAAGCAACAAGTGTGCATGCAACCAACCAATGCTCAGCCTGATTCCACCATGTTATATGGACCAGAATCTCTAAGGAACAGCCCCACCCACAATCAAGACAGGTCTTCCCACATCAATTGACGTAACCAAAATAGTCCCTTATAGGCATGTCCAGAGGCCCATCTCCCAGATGACTCCAGATCCTGTCGACCTGATAGATTATAAACATCACACATAGTGTGCCCCCAGGAGAACCTGTCAATAGGGATGTAATCCTCGGGGGACTTTTCAGGTCCAAACAAATCAATTGAAGGAAAATGTTCAATTCAAGGAAAATGTTTAATTCTAGCCTGTCCTAGACATCTCTGCTCACCTAAGAATGTGGGGGAAAAGGATATGAAACACTTACAAAATCTAGAGGCATGGGCTTACTAAAA